GTCTCCAATGGTTTCCACCTGAAAGAAAGGTATGGCACATAGCTTTATGTTGAGTGGTAAGGGTGTGGGGCTAAGACTAGTCCTTTGCATTCATGCAACGGTTGTTTGAAGAACATGAATAATCTCGATTAATCTTCAGGAGTAATAACCTTAAGCGCGTAAGGACCAAGCATGACCCCCTAATCAGAGGTTCACAAAATTCAGAAAAGAGTGGGCGTACCCCAATCTGGAAAAGCCTGGAGGTAGACAAACTCGCAAATTACTGGACCGTTATAGAATTTCTCAAGGTGTCGTCGATGGTTGTTAAAATATCGTCGGAACCAAAGCATTTTTTTAAGTTCGTGTACTATGACAAGTCAGCCTTTTAGGCACTGCTTACTTTGTAGACGTCGTAGTTATCAATGGTTGCATCAAACATTGTGTAGAGGTCATTCAGCAGACCAACCACTTGCAGTGGAGTTGAGAGAGCTGAGATGGTCGTGAATCCGACAATGTCGCTAAAGTAGATGGACACCTCGTCGAAGGTTTCGGGTGCAACCGAATTTCCAGACTTCAGTGATTCAGCCACCACACTGGAAGGTTCGGAGAGGAAGGACAATGCAGTAATTATTATTGGCATTCAGATAATTAAGGTACTGGATGGTCACTGTTCCAAATTCAGTTTTTCTATACATTGGGAAGGCGATCGTTTCTTAGGGGCATCATACGTAATACAACTAAGTTTAATAAAGGCCCACCTCCTCTAACCTAGAACTAATGGCTTTGAAGTGACCACTGATAATAAACCTCTATAAAGTGACTACGTCGTCAGACTTTCTGTGTAGTGTCTCCTAAAATTCATTTATGCTAACGCTGTTGTACATTATAGCAGGCAGTGATGAAAACGATGAAGCCAAACGCACCGTGAAAGCCACACACCAATTTTCATGTCATTCAGCGACCGGAGAATACTCGGGTAAGTCGGCAGTAGGCGTTGCGAGGTTGATGACTTATCATTGCTGAACAACTACAAGAGGTCACAAGAGTGCCAGACCGGAATATTATGTAGTAATTGTAATTGCGTCCAATGTCTTTTTCCCCCACCTCGTGGGAAGTATAAATAGGCTTCTAACTGGTAGATAGCAGCACCGTCGAACCCATCGCAATTGCAACTGTGACAGTACGCGACGCCTCGATAACTCACTAACCACTGTTAACTTACTCCCAGTGCGAATTTGAATTTGAATTGCCACGATTGGCGACCTCCAAGTCTATCTCTACACAAACGACCGATCTGTCAGACAAATTATCCAACATACTTCACGACAGTATAAGCCGGAAAAG